TCAAGGGACGCATGTCGATGTAATTTAATTGTGCATACACCCTGTATAAAATGTCCTTCACATCTCACCGAACTTCAAAGTTACAGCAAACATCGGTAAATATTAAAATTTGCACAAATAATAGCGTTGTCGAATGATTTTTTTCCAAATATCTCGCGCACCCTGTATAACTGACGAAACCTGAAACTCTCTCACGACACAGTTTACGATACTGTTCAAATAAAATTATCCCATCTTTGACAGTTTTTCATTTATCGCCAATAATTTATCCACAAAAACGGAAATTTTTAGGATATTTTAGATTTTTTGCACATAAACGACACATCCTGTATATAATACAATCATTGTTCCAAGTAAAGGTTATAGCCCTGGATTTTCCACGCGTCCTGGTTCAAGAATTTATTGAAAATAGTAAATGGTTTTCGAGAAAATAAGTTTTTTCTGAAACCATGCAGCGCGCCGTAATAATCAATGACGTCATCGCGTCTTGACAGCCCTCCAAGTAACGATTTCAATATGGACGAAAACCGCAAGTACAAAATGATGCGGTCTATGACACCGTTTGAACCAATTAGCCGTATTTTTTACGATTTTTGGTTAGCGGCTAATAATTTACCCTGTAAAAGAACAATTTTCTAGGTCTTTTAGATTTTTGTATATAATTTGAAAACCTTGTATATAATGAAAAAATGCCCGAAATAAATGTTATTGCACTGGACCTTTTGCGTCTGCGGGTTAAAGAATTTTGCCAATCGGATGAACGATTATGGAGGATAACAGTTTTTTCTGGAAGCTAAAATTACCAAAAAAAATTTTCAAACATTTAAAAAAAAACTTGGTAAAATGGTAAAAATGGTTTTGAAAAATGATTTTTTTTGTAGACTCTTGCACTCGCGATTTTTTATTTTTTTAGAATACTTCCCGACCCCCCCAGCCCCCCATTCTCAATAGGTTCCGTCACGGGGCAAAGCTGCATATATGTGCCAAATATGAAGTCGATTGCTTCAAATTTCGGACATAGCAAGGCCCAAAAAACAATGGAAAATCGCGAAAAAAAGATGGATACAGGGCCATTTCTTATAAGCTTATGTGCCTCGTGGAGGGTTAAAAAGGAAGCAAATTTCAATTTTGTAGCTCCAACGGTTAGAAAGTTATTCAGCAAAAGCCAAAAGACGAGAACGGAGAACGGACAGACAAAAAAAATGTTGACGGTGACCAATTCTGTACCAACGGCGATCTCATAGGACTTACCGTTACCGAGATCTAAAATTTTTATACGAGCGCAGATACTTTCGAAAAATTCGATTTCATCGATTTTCGAAAGTAACAAGAAGTTCCGGAATTGAAAACCGCGAATATGGAAACGCATTATGCGCTCATTTGGCCGTTGCTATTCGATTATTCTGTTAAACATGAATTAATTATTAACTGCTTTAATCAGTTGAACGTAAATGACTACTTTTTGTTTATTTTGCATTAAACTGCATTCGGGGTTAATAAATTGAAAGATATATTAGTCAAAAATCAAATAGTGGAACTAAAGTATCTCACAAACCTGACGTTTATAAATTATCTGTGGAGGATAAGACTGGAAAATGGACACGACAGATTAAACAGAGGTTACAAAGCGATTAAATCAGATGGAAAATGTTTGAAAGATAAGAGTAACCATACTGCAGCTACATACCGAAAATCTCATAAAATATTAGACTAAATAATACAGGAATTAGGAAAAACAACGATAGGCCAGAGCAAATGTGGCCCCGTAAATATGTTTATATCACTTTTGTTTTGTTTGGACAAATCCTGGAAAGATATATAAAATCTTTATCTTTAAAAGAGCGTAGTTATTAGCGAAATAATTTTGAACATATTATTATTATATCTGTTTTTTGTCTCGAAAAGCATGGATAATTATAATAATATTTGGTAATTATAATAATAAACTAAGTATGTGCACAATTTTAGAGCTAATGGTGGCAGGTGTGGGGTTATCGTTAATTATGAGCAACGAATAAAAACAAAATTGAAATTTTTTTTCTTAGGTCACTTCTCATGGAAAAAAACGTGAAACATTAAAGACAATATTTTGTTAAGAATGTAAACTTAATTATATCTAGGACAACATGAAAAACATGCAACACAAACAAAAATAACTGTCAAAATATTATTCTTATGTCATATTTCTTTACCTCGAGAAAAGCATGAGAAGTACAAGAAAATATTTGGATAATTTTGCAAATATTATGACTAATAATTAACTATATTATTATATATATTACTAATTATATTTGGAACAACATGAAAAATACTCTACACAAGCAGAAACAATTTTGAAAACATCATTCTTATATATTTTTTGTCTTGAAAAGTATAAACAATTCATGAACATATTTGGTAATTCATCAGTAACTAAGCATGTGCACAATTTTAGAGGTAATGGTGGCAAGTGTGGGGTTAAATTTAATTATAAACGACAACTAGAAGAGAAACTTTTTTCATAGGTCACATACAAGTCGTGAAACAGAAAATATTTAGTTAAGGATGTGAACTGTTTTATACGCAGTGTCAAGCTGAATTGTATTTGCAACAACACTAATAGTGGAAGAAGTAATACTTAGTAAATACTTTAATTAATCTTGCTAGGGTTTTGTCTTTTTAAAGAAGCAAACGAAAAAGAAAATCGAAAATTTCAACTCGAACCGTCTAAACCATTCGTCTTACCCCGTGTATCACTGCAAAGACGTTAGAGGGGGGTTAAAAATGCAAATTGCTTTATATATAACAGCCGTATGCAAAATGGCATTATCCAAGACAGTGGCGTTTCGAAAACGAATCTCGAAATTGAAGTTTGGCTCGAGTTTTGCGGTTTTGTTGTTGATAAAGAATGTCGAATTTCGTGACGGATTTAAGTAAGTTTCTCTTTAAGGCGAACTTGAGCGAATACCGGAAAAAAAGGATATGGTCTGTTCATAGATATAAGAAAGTGACCAATTGATTATCCAAGGGTGGTCATTAACATAAAATGCGACAAGATTATTACCTAAAGTTTCGATATTTAAATTCAGGTAAAATTGTGGTCCGTAATAGAAAATAATTTTATACCTACCTGTGTTTAATATTCTTTGGTTTGGTGTACTACTTAGTTTAAGTTTATTAGTAATCATTCTTATTTCGTGTGTAATACAGCGTGAGGAGATGCTCCCGCCCAAATGTACAAAACACTATTCTATTGAGACTAAGGAAGTTATAAACAATGTTTATTTGACTCTCATTGAACGTGGTGCCAGCAAGCAAGCAACTGTATGGAAAATTGTGAATAATCCTATTTCAGCGAGGAAACAAAGTAGCGATGCTGACATTTTCTCGAGTGTAGATGAAAGTGATCGAGATATAATACGGCGTAAAATTTACAAGTTATACGAGGAACAAAGCGTGCCTACATTAGATATCTTAATTAGGAGGCTTGAAAAAGATGAAACCGGTGTTAAATGTGGCATAACCTTATGGACGTGTATTCAACACATGGGTTTTAGATTTTAAAAAATTGACAAAAGGCAAGTTTTAATGTAATCTTTTAGAATTCGGAAATGGCGATTGGAATATCTAGAAAAAAAATTGGATTTACAGAGAACAACAAAGGCCAATTATTTACTTGGATGAAACCTGGTTCGACACTTATGATACCCCGGAAAAGGGTTAGGTTGACTCAATTGATAAGTGTAAAACAAATGCGCCATCAAAATGAGGTAAAAGAATAACTATTTTGCATGCTGACTCTAAACATGGTTGGATTCCAAATGGACTTTCTCTATCTGCGAAAAATATTAAAGATTCTTCTCTGGATTACCATGAAGACACCACCGCTGATTTATTTGAAAGTTGGTTTAAAAAGAAACTAGTTCCAAACATTCCTCCTAATAGCGTAATTGTAATGGACAATGCAAGGTATCACAGCAGACAGTTGACTAAAACCCCTTCCTCATGTGACACAAAAGCAGCAATCCGAAACTACATGTATAATAACGACTTTTTTTTTCACGAAAATTATGCCAAAAAGCAATTATTTGAGGTTCTAAAAAGCTTGAATCTACAAAAGGTATACGTCTGTGATAATTATGCAAAAAATCTAGGGCATACAGTTTTAAGGCTTCCACATTACCACTGTATATTTAATCCCAATGAACATGTTTGGCATCAACTGAAATCTGCCATTCGTCGTAACAATGTTTTTCCCCGTGTTAACTCCAACGTCCTCAAACCTATAGAAACCGAAGTTTTTAACATCCCTCCACAAAGTTGGGCAAATTCTGTTAAACATATAGAAAAAGCAAAACAATCGTATACCCATATTGCAAATAATATAGAACACATAATAATTAGAACAGGCGATGATAGCGATAGTGATACTGATATATTATGTGAATAATTTTAAGTAATTTGAGTAGGTAATAAAAATAATTTGTAATTTTATTTTAGATTTAAAAATAAATACATACATAAATAAATAAATATTGTTTAGTATCTTTCCTAACAAAACCCCAAACAATTAAATTCTAAGCAAAGTAAGGACCTGTTCGGCCATGTTTCATTCTTACAGCTTGCTCGGGTCTTTCCTTAATTCGTATCAGTTAGTCACTTTCTTATATCTATGAACAGACTTTACCCAATCGATCCGGACATATTTTACAGTAAAGGAGTCGTTGAATATTAATTAAAATAGGAAATACATCGAAAACCGGATCGCGATCACTATCGGCGTACCTAAGCTGGGATTTGATTAGGTTTTTTATCGGAGTGTTCCGATCTCCAATAAAGAAGTTACTTTACTTTTCTCCGAAGCCCGTTAAGTTTTAAAGGGCGTTACGAGGAATTTATTCGAATTCAGATTGTAGGTCTGGGAATATGAAACGCACATAAAGATACGTATAGGAGGGGCAATAAGTTTTCAAATGGGGCAAATACTATCTGTGCCAATGACTCTTTTATAATATACTCACAGTCTACGCTGACTTTAATCTGCTTGCTCACAGTCGGAGGAACCCCATTTTTTGCTATACATAAATACGCCCCCATATCGAGCCGCGAAATCTTGGTCAGTTCCAATTTTTCGCCATCAAATTCTGCAACTAAAAATAACACATAGTTTAACATAAACCATAATATAACGATAACGATATAACTCTACGTTACCTTGCAGGGTTTTATTGATGCTAATCATAGAATTGTCGTAGCGTTTCCACATTACCGTCGGGGTGGGAAATCCTGTGGCTTTACATGTCAACGTTTCATTCGCACCTTCTCTAACAATGACATCACTGCTACTTTGCGAGTCGTCTATGTTCGGCGGGACTGTAAAAAAATGTCGACAGTTGAAACAAAAACCCTTTCAGGGCTTTAATTTGATTACTGGCTTGGTAATTTTTACGCGGTGTGAGACGTACGTATGTCAGGCGCACCCCAGAAACGGGAAAGAAAAATGTTCACCTATAAATGTAAATTCCAAGCATCTTTGACGATTTCTCAACGTTTCAAAAGGCCCATAATAAACTTCTTTTCTGCGTTTGAAATTTGTCGACAAAGACACGTAGCGCAGATAAATTCGACGCTAACTGCCATTGGTTTATAACGGCAATTTCTCCTTACGCAATACGTTCATTTATGGGACCTTGTAGATATCGCCTCCACTTTTCTGTATGGGTAAACCCAAAGAGACCCTTGATCCTCTTTCAATATTATCCCAAAATATTTTTTTGTCCAGCCAGCTCTAGAACATATTTATACTCCAACGTTTTAAAGATATGGAGATAGGGATTTCTAAAAACCATTGAAAACGTAGGTCGAAAAATGTGCGAAATAAAACATAAAATATGCTACTGTCTATAGACTATTGCAGAAATGAGTAAATTGGTAAAATCAAAAAATCGGTCTAGTTCAAATTATTTTGCATCCCCATTGTAAATCCGATACTAAAAAATGGGCTTTGATGCCATTATCGGCCACATATGCACTCATTATAACAGAAAAAAGGAAAATGAATGTAATTCGAAGAAAAGATAAACAAAAAGTTATTTTTAAAAAAGAATTATCGACTCTAAAAATGGGACTTTAATGGAGCTTGACCACGGTTTTGTCCTTTCTATATTTCAAATGTGCCCCGCTTTATCAAAATGAAAACAGGTAATCTGTTTTCATATACTTTGTAATATTTCAAAGTCACTTAAGCTAATTTTTTCATATAATCATCGGATCCCTATTAATAATTCAAAGCTACATGTAATTGCTGAAATTTGCCGACAATTATGATATATTCTTTTTAGTAAAGTTCTCTATACTAGGAGAAGAACTCATGCAATTATGGTGCGAAACACTGTGATTACGAAAATTTCAGTTGTTTTGTTATACGTTTTAGGAAAATTACAACGTTTTAATGTTAAGATTTTATTGGTAAATTATGTGAAAAACTAAAAGAGGAATGTAAAGGTTATATTGCTCTACGTTGAATGGTTTAGTATGCATAGGTGTTTGAAGCACCAAAATAAAACTTTTCAAGTGCCAATAAATCAAAAACAATTGAAAATACGACCACGAACAAAAATCCTCAGGAGTTTCCATAAATGTAATAATATTTATGAAAACATTTTTTTTTTAATAACTGACGATTGTGACACCCTGAGATCAATTTTCTGTAGTTACGGCGGGAAAATATTGATAACCCTATATGATACATTGTAAATTGTAAACTGCCTATATATCGAATCACATTAAACATTTTTCCAAGGTTTGGCATATTTTTTATTTTCAAAATTTAAGTTACTTTTTATTTGCTAGTCAAGAGGAGTTGACAGTTCCACCGGATGACGAGAATATTACGATTTTATATAATTCAATTTCTGTATAAGATTTAATAAAAAAAAATGTTCTTTTTTACGGGCCTACTATTTTCAATGGTAACAATAGGCAAAACCCATAAATTGATCTAAACCCTGGCACCTGCCCTCGGATAAAAAGAAATTTGCAATCACATCAACGTCAAGCAATGAAAGTGGCATAACTTTAGACTAAAACTATATAACTATAACTATAAGAAAGTAGATGTGCCAAAATCAGTATTTTGTAAGACCAACCCTCATCAGGTCGCTCTAACGACTAAAATAATAATTAGAAATAAAACCAGAAAGAAAAAAAAATGGATAATTTGTGTAAAGACTATATCAGAACTGGTAATACAGGAAAATTTAGCAAATTTAAAGAATAAATAAATAAATCATACGACAAAACTAAAAAATAACTTTTACAAAAATATAATACACCAAAACAAACATAACCCCAAAGAGATGTGGGAAACTGTAAATCAGTATTTGTCTCATATAAGTAAAAATAACTCTGATGAGATTAATAAGATTCAAGGCTTAGAAAGAATATTATCTGATCCATACGACATAGCCAATTTTTTTAATGACTATTTCTCTACTATGGGACAAAAGTTAGCGAATAAAATCCGAACCACAACCATAGACATTTCACAAAATCATAATAATATCAGAGACTCGATGTTTAGTAAAGAAACGGATATTGGTGAGATTGAAAAAATTATTAGCGAACTGAAGTATGAAACTACACTTGGAGAAGATTGTCTTGATGATGAGATTTTAAAAGAGATTGCCAAAGAAATATGCCAACCGCTATCGTACTAATAAATATGATAATTTCTACAGGTAAGTGTCTCCAACACTTTAAAAAGGCTATTGTTAGTCCAATAAAAAAGGCAGGTGATAGAATGCTGGCGGTTAATTATCGTCCCATTAGTATTCTATCAAATGTAAGTAAAATATTCGAGAAAGTTATAAATATAAGATTGATAAAATACCTTTCGCTTAAACAGCTTATTTTTAACAATCAGTTCGGTTTTACACAAAACAAAGGTACAGTTGATGCAATGGCATTATTATCTGGAAGCAAATATAGCTGTCTGGATAGACGACGTTCCTGTGCTGCAGTTTTTATAACTTTTTGATTCAGTAAATCATATAAGTTATTTGTGCTAGATCTATTAAAGGGCTACCTCTAAAACAGAAAACAGTCAGTTATAATTAAAAACAAACTGTTAACTGTGGAATGCCTCAGGGAACAGTCTTGGGTCCCATTTTATTCAATATGTACGTAAATGATTTACGAAGAATACTAATGGAACTAATAACACCTTATCATTACCAAGTAACAATATTAAGGTTTACCTGATACAGGGATCAGAATTGTGGCAAATATAAATAAAATAAAAAAGAGTGTCAAATATCTTGGCATACTATTGGACAGCCACCTGAAATAGGGTATTCATATTCAAACACTAGTTAAAAAAATCAGATCAAAATTTTTAAGCAAACGAGACAAATGGTTTCGATAAAAAAAATCTTTCCTTATACTTTGCACTGTCACTGTCACGACGGTATACAGCATTATCGACTGGGGCGGTGCATATAAAAGTAATCGCAAACCATTAGAGGTTACTCAGAAACGAGTCCTGAAAGTTATGTTTCAACTTGACCGACAGTTTCTCTCAGATCACTTTACAAGAGAAAAAACGGAAGAAAACATAACAAAAGAATTTGCAAACGAACATTTCTATATGTTGGAAATGAATTATATAACATAATTCCTGCTGAAATGAGGAATATTATAACTTCTAAAGGGTTCGGCTATGAATTAGCTAACTGGTTACTGGAAAATTGTCCCACAGTCATTGACTAAGGTTAAAACTATGCCTAAAAGCAACTTCAATTAATGCAATCCAATATTTTGGTTCCCCTTCCCTTAATTTTGTCAATTTATTTTTGTAAGCTAATATATTTTATTTTGTCTAGATTATTTGTAAAATATATAATACTTAAGGTAGCACACGAGTTTCGCAACTCAAGCTTAATTAATTGTTAATGAATTCTATCACAAATGTTATTATTTTATTTGTCCCAAATTTAAACTAAATGTACTATTAAACTAAAGCGTTCTGTACTCAGTAGAATTTATTATTATTAGTATTAATATTATTATTATTATCATTATTATTATGAGTTTTTATTACTCTACACGTTTCTGAAGTAGCCTTTGGTCTTGTAGTCTAGTTAATTAGGCAAAACTAAAATACTAAAATCAAAAACATTGTTAAAATAAAACCCACGTAGGTACGTTCGATTATTAAGCCAAATATCCAAACCCTAAAGGGCCCTCTTGATTACAACCGTATTTCTTGGACGCGAGGGTCAACGATGTTCATTACAACACCCTCTGAGCTGGCTTTTGTGGGATAGACGAAATTCCTATTGTACTTCTAGTTATGTCTTAATCATTCACCGCGTGACTTCTTGTTAATTGCTCCCAAGATTGACGCGCAACATTTGAATACGATGAGAAACGCGCATCATTATAAAACAGATTTCGAAACAACGTCTTCTGCATCCAAAAGCAAAGAACGGTCACAATTTTCCCAAGCCGGGGGATGTGTTCTATCTACGAATCTAGGCTGCCACCGCTTTAGCCCTCTGATTAATTCATCCTCCGTCTTCCGAAAATCAACATTCCCGTTGCACTTACTAATTGTATTTTATTTAACATTCTATTTTAGACTGCTGAAGATATCGTGTTGCTTACTCGCTCCGTTGGGTTTTACCCCGCGAAACCTGTCAGGAATTATTAATGCTATTGGATAACCACTCTAAATGTTCATTATTTTAAGGGAATTTTTCTATATTATGAGCAAGGGAGATCACCGTCCGCTTGAAACCAGATTCTCAATTCCCAATTCAAAGCATCATTTTATAAAAGTACCATTTGTTTTTTTTTTAATTCTGTGGTGGGTGGTGTTTGATAAAATCTTTTTTTTTTTTGTTTTTATAAAAGGGTGTTCACTTATTGTTTTTTTCTTTCCGTCGAGTTTATTATTTAACGGATTTTGAAAATTTTGGCGGCAAAATGTTGCAAAAAAAAGTACCGGTTTTAAAGAGTTTTTGTTCCCACTAGGTGCTAGTTGAAAAAACTAAGTTATACTAGAAAATTAATAGTTCATGATTTTAAATGCTATTTGTAATTAGACAAGTAATGAAAACTTTCATTTACAATTTTTCTCATGGTCAGGTGACCCGGAAATAGTATTTATGAAGGTCACAAGGTTCAAAAATGAAATAAAAATTTAAATTAACAAAAAAAGAGAAAAAGCGTCCTATCATGCGTAGAATGATCTCCTGCATCCAAAAATGCAACAAAATTTAGGTTGTGCCATTTAAAATTCGAAAGTTACTGTCGTTTCCGCTCAAACCGGAAGTGCAACCATTGACTACATCGTGTAAAAAAAATGGACA